GTTTGCGCCGCGGACGGCGAGAGAGAGTTGCGCCGCGGACGGCGAGGGAGTTTGAGCGCGGGCGGCGGGCCCGGTTCATTCGCCCCCTTGCGGGCAAGAGAGGCCGGTCCGTTTGGCCTAAGTGGAGCAGTTGGAATCAGACCAAGCCGAAGAGAAGAAGTTAATTCGCGCACTGACGGCGAAGAAGAGTTTGCGCCGCGGACGGCGAGAGAGATCAGCCGTGAACGACAAGCAGAGATCAGCGCCCAGTGTTGAAACCGCATCAAGATAGCTAACCAAGATTCACGCACACTTCTAGACTCTTCTTCAACCAAGAACAAGTAGTTTGAAGAGCGACTTAGAATCAGACCACAAGAAATAAGTTTTTTTTTCGACTTTCGTCCAAAGACACACCGAAACGCAAATTTCTAAGAGAGCAGACAACTGGAAGCCTTAAAGTTGCCTAGTAAAAGCGTTGTGCCACAATCCACAGAACGGGTCGGGAGGTAGACCTAGTCCTATGTACCGAGCAAATAGACAAAAAAGTTTGTTACCTTTTTCTTGATACGTTGGATCTTGTGAGTTGTTATTTTATTTCTTTTTATTATACATAATTGTGTGTTATCACCCCCGTTAGACTCAACTTGCATTACGGCCCCAAGCCCTGTTTGATCTCGTCTGTCTAAGATCAAGTCACAACGTGGGTAGGCAGACCGGAGATCAGTGCAGTTACCCTGGTAACCAGGCGTTGGAAGCAGGTTGGGAACGACGAGGCTGGTATCAATCTAACCAAAGGGTTAGAACGTCACGTTTGGAGCAGCGAGGAGCGAACAGCTGACGCCATGACAAAAGACGTCACAACTGGTGCTGTCCGTGACTAGGATATCAGAGCCTGGGGAGCACGTGACGTCACAATTGGCGCCGCGAACGGGATCGAACGACACAGTCGACGCTGCGACCGGGGGACGACGTCACAGCTCTAAGCAATGTTTTCATTGATTATACCTTCTAGTTCATGTTCTGTCATCCATTTACAAAAGTTGATCATGGCCGTCCACAACTTCCTATCTTCTTTAGCTCTAAGCCATGTTTGCATTTAATATTTCTGTCAGGTCTTGTCCTGTTATCCATTACACAAGCTATTTATATAGGTTACTCGCTACTTTCTTCTGTTCCTCTTGCCTTCAATATGTTCAGTGAGTGTCAAATTAGCCATGTTCTCTATCTTCATTAGGTGTCCTAGAAATTACTTTTTCTACTTCTAAATGCAAGCATCCTTTTCCTTGAAATTTTCCTTAAAAATTCGTCATTACTCCTATGTTCAGTATATGTCATTCTCAGCATCCTTCTGTAGAACCTCATTTCTGTTTCCCCAACTCTCTTTTTTATCTGTGAAGAGATTTTCCAGAATTCACTGCCACATAGGAGAACCAATATTATGTAACCGTTCAGTACTCTTTTCTTTGTTTCTTACGAAATTTTCCTGTTTCTTAATATTTTGTTTAGCTTTTGGAAGACATCTTTCGCTACACTACTGTGTCTTAAGATGTCGGTGTCACGTTTTTCTTTTTATTATTTCTAAATATTTTGAGAAATAATTGACTTGGCCTAATTTTATTTCTTACCAGTGCCAAAAGTCAAAATTTGAATTTGGGTAAAATCATATTCTTCCTAATTACATATAATTACTTGCTGATATAGTAATTGATAATTGTTACAGAAAATATGGCTGCCATCCATTTACAAAAGCTCGTTATATTACTTGCTGCTTTATTCCGTTCCTCTTGCCATCAATATGTCTTGTGAGTGTCAAATTCTACAAGCCATCTTTCCTCATTATAATTTCTACACATTTAAACTGTATTTTCTAAATATAAACGTCATTGCTTATTTTGACTTTCCTTAAAATTTCATTGTTATTCACATAATCAGTTCATGGTATTCTCAACATCCTTATGAAGAACCAAATTTTCTGTGGCTCAAGCCTTTCTTTCATTTGTGAGGAGATTGTCCTGCATTCACTGTCATATAGGAGGACTGATATTACATAAACAATTTAGTACTCTTTTCTTTGTTTCTGTTGCTTCAAGTCTATTCTTCGTCTGTGAGGAGATTGTCCAGCATCCACTGCCATATAGAACATTACATAAAATTTCAGCCTAACCTTAAACTTAACTTAACCTTAACCCAGTCCATCGTATTGTCAGCATAACCCTAATTCTAACCCTGACACTAACCCTGCCCAAGGTATAGGCAGTATTCATTGATAGAACCGGATCTCTGTTGCTTCAAGTCTCTTCTTCATCTGTGAGGAGATTGTCCAGCATTCGTTGCCATATAGGAGGACTGATATTACATAACATTTCAGTACACTTTTCTTTGTTTTTGTTGCTTCAAGTCTCTTCATCAATGTGGAGATTATCCAGGATTCACTGCTACATAGCAGAACCAATATTATATGATCATTCAGTACTCTTTTCTTTGTTTCTAACGAAATTTTTCTGTTTCTTGATATTTTGTTTAGCTTTTGGAAGGCATCTTTCGTTACTCTACTGTGCCTTAAGTTGTCGGTGTCACATTTTTTTTTACTATTTCTAAATATTCCGAAAAATAATTGACTTGGCTTAATTTTATTTCTTACCAGTGCCAAAGGTCAAGGTTTAAAAGTCAAGGATCGTAAAAGAAGGGAACACAAGAAAACAAAAAGAAATAAAAACAAGAAAGGAAAAAGAACGATAAGAAAAGGAATAATCTTCCTAATTTCATTTAGTTTCTTGCTGATATAGTTATTGATAATTGTGACAGATAATATGGCAATAAAGGGAAAAGGAATAAAAAGAGAATTAATTTAGATGAAAAGGAAAGAAGGAAACAGAGAACAGACTAAGAAAGAAAGAAAGAAAAGAAAAGAAAGAGAATTAAACAAGGAACAAAATAAAGGAAAAAGAAAAACGGAGTAAAGAAAGAAAGAGATAGACTAAGAAAGTAAGAAATAAATAAATAAAGAAACAAAAAAGAAAGACAGAAAGAATGAAAATATAAAAAAGTAGAAAGAAAGAAAAGGTAGGAAAAAAGAAAAGGTAGAAAGAATGAAAATAGACATGAAATAGAATAGAAGGAATGAAAGAGTCAAAGCTAGAAAGAAATGTCAAAAAAAGAATGAAAAAGTGAAAGAAAAGTAGAAGGAAAATGTAGAAAGAAAGAAAAAAACAGGAGAAAGAAAGACAAGTAGAAAGAGAAAAAAAGGTAGAATGAACGAAGGAGAATAGAATATGAAGAAAAAGAACAAAGAAAGAAAGAAACGGAAAAGATAAAATGACCGGAGAATACGAATGAAATAAAGAAATAAAGAAATGCAAAAAGAACTGATCAAAATAAAGAAAAAGAATGAAAGGGAAATAGAGAAAAGAAACGAAAGAAAAAAATAAAGGCGAAAGAAAAGTGAAAAAAGGCAAGCAGACAATTAAAAAAAAAAGAAAGCAAAGATTGGAAAAAAAAGAAACAAATATAGAAAAGGAGGTAAACGAAAAAGAAAGGAAATGGAAAAGAATGAAGCAAATGAAGGAATGAAAACTAATGGAAAAAAAAGAAAAAAATAAAACACAAAGAAGGAAATATAAAAATGAACGAAGAATAAATAGAAGAAAAAGAAAATAGTAATTAAGACAAAATAAAAATGAATGAAACAAAGGAAAAAAGGGAGAAAGAAAAAGAAGGAAAGAAAAAGAAGAAAGAGTAAAAGAAGAAATGAATAAAGAAAGCGAAAAAGAAATATAAATCAACGATGCGAAAGAAAAAGAAAGAAAGAAAATAGAACCAAAAAGAAGAACGAAGAAAAAGAAAAAGAAAACAGAAAGAGAAAGATAAGAAATTGAAAATGAACGAAAGAGAAATAAAATCAAATGAAACAAAAGAACGAATGAAAAAGAAAACGGATCGTAAAAGAAGGAAGCACAAGAAAACAAAAAGAAATAAAAACAAGAAAGGAAAAAGAACGATATGAAAAGGAAAGTAAAAAAGGAAGCGAGAGAGAGAGAGAGACAACATAGAAAGAAAAAGACAGAGAAAAAGGAAAAAAGAAAGAAAAAGAAACGTAAAAGAAGGAAGCAAAAAAACAAACGAGAAATAAAAAAGAAAAATGAAAAGAAGAAAGAAAGAAAGAAAGAAGAAAAAGGAAATCGAAAAGGAAACAAGAGAAAGACAAAAAGAAAGATAGGAAGAAAAAAGACAAAGAAAAAGGAAAAAAAGAAAGAAAAAGGAAAACGAACAGAAAGAAACAGGAAGCACAAGGAAACAAAAGAGAAAGAAAAATGAAAAGAAGAAAAAGAAGACGAAAAAGGAAAGTAAAAAGTAAGCTAGAGAAAGAAAAAAGAAAGAAAGGAGGAAAGAAAAAGTCAGAGAAGGAAAATGGAAAAACGAACGTAAAAGAAAGAAGCAAAAGAAAACAAAAAAGAAAAAGAAGAAAGTAAAAATCAAAAGGAAAAGAAATGGGACTGTAAAAGAACAGCTACATTTGCTTAGGCGGGTAAGAGTGTGTAGCGCATTAGTGAATTTTAGTATGTGTAACGCATTAGGGAATTTTACGGCATAGTAAACCATGTTGGGTTTTATAAAGCGGAAATCTGGATTTTTCTTTTATACTTGAGTCTATAACTAAACTTTGGTCTTCTGTATACTTGAGCCAGTAGGTAAATATTGGTCGAATTTATACTTGAGTCTATAGATAAAAATTAGTAGTGTTTATACTTGAGAATATAGGTAAGCATTGGTTGTGTTTATGCTTGAGTCTATAGGTAAACATTGTTCGAGTTTATACTTGTGTCTATATGTAAATATTTATCTTTTTATAGTTGAGTGACTAGGTAAACATTTGTCAGTTTATACTTGTCTATAGTTAATCATTCGTCGAATTTATACTTGATCCATCAGTAAATATTGAACAAGTTTATACTTGAGTCTATAGATAAAAAGCGATTGGGTTTATACTTGTCTATAGATGAACATTAATCGAGTTTATACTTATGTCTATAGGTAATTATTAGTCGGTTTATACTTGAGTTTATTACCGAACATTAGTTAAGTTTATATTTGAGTCTATCAGTAAATATTAGTCGGATTTAGTTCTGAGTCTATAGGTAAACAATGGTTGGGTTTATACTTGAGGCTATAGGCAGGCAAGCATCTCAACGGTTGATAAATTAAAGTAAAAAGTAGAAAAATAAATATTACAGAAAAAACATATTAAAGAAGGAAAGAAAGAAAAATGATTTTAAATTCATTGTCTTTTATTTTCTTTTTCTTTTTTCTTTAAACTTATATTCTGAAATATTTTTGTGTTCTTTCTTTCTTTCTTTCTTTCTTTCTTTCTTTCTTTGCATTAAGAATTTATTCTTTCCTTTATTCTTTTTCTTCCTTCATTTCTATCTTTCAGATTTATAATCTTATTTTTTTCTTTTTTTCTTGAATTCTGATATATTAGTGTCTTTCTTTTTTATTTCTTTTTTCTTTCTTTTTCTTTTTTGTTTTTCGTCTTTCCTTTTCTTTTTCTTTCTTTTTTCTTTCTTTCTTCTTTTTTGTTTCCTTTTCTTTTTTCTTACTGTTTTCTTTCTTTCTTTTGTCTCTCTCTTTCTTTTTCTTTCTTTCTTTCTTTCTTTTCTTTCTTTCTTTCTTTCTTTCTTTGCATTAACTGTTTATTCTTTCCTTTATTCTTTTTCTTCCTTCATTTTTATCTTTCAGATTTATAATCTTATTTTTTCTTTTTTTCTTGATTTCTGATATATTAGTGTCTTTCTTTTTTTCTTTCTTTTTTCTTTCTTTTTCTTTTTTGTTTTTCGTCTTTCCTTTTCTTTTTCTTTCTTTTTTCTTTCTTTCTTCTTTTTTGTTTCCTTTTCTTTTTTCTTACTGTTTTCTTTCTTTCTTTTGTCTCTCTCTTTTTCTTTCTTTCTTTCTTTCTTTCTTTCTTTTTTTCTTTCATTTATCTTTCCTTTGTTTTCACCTTCTTAACTATTTTTTATTAATGTTTTCGTTTCCTTCTATTTCTACTTCGTTCATTTTTCATTCATTGTATTTTATTTTTTATCTATATCTTTCTTTTTTCATTCATATGTACTTTTTCTAATATTTCGCATTTCTTTTAATAGTTTTCATTCTTTGTTTTTTATATTATTTTTCTTTTTTCTTTCATTCTTTTTTTTTCGTACTTTTCTGTTTCGCTTTGTTCCCGTTTCCTTTCTTCTTTTCCTTTCTTTCTTTCTTTCTTTCTTTCTTAAACTGTTTTCATTAATTTTTCTTCTTTTTATTCATTTATTTCGTTTTTTTACGTCTTCATTTTAATTTCCTCCCTCCTACCCCCACCTCTGACGCAATTAAATCTAAATCACGCATCGTCACCCACCAGATCGACACTAGTCTGCAACAATCCCCTACTTGCATGGACTCCAGGTTGGTAACCTTATATAACTTAGGCTAAGAAACATCCTTTTCTGAGTCCAGAATAGCGATTTCACCATAAACAAATCGTCTCACCTGATACCTGCATATCAGGTAATGTTGAACCTAACAACAGACAACATTTTGAACCGGAGTGATCTCAAATTTTCAGCTTGTAAAAAGCTGATTCACTCATAAAATTCGTTGCTGCCACATTCCGTGAACTTGCGAGGTCAGTTTTCGGTCAGAAGTCAAAAGAACAGTTTTCTTTTGCTTTCCTAGAAACTTTGTCTGCCAGAAGTGTTAACACATCAGTAGGCAGTAATAAGAAAAGAAGAAATATTTTCCATTGTAGATGAGTTGATCTGTGGTGACCCTACTTTGTATTTGAACTACACTAAGAGATACCAAAGTACGCTTTGCCCTCGATGTCATACCAGAACATCAAAAGAGCCAGCTGCATCAAAATATTGACCTGGGAGGTAATCTCATAGCTATCAGGTGCAGACTCGGGCCTCAAATATGTCAGTAGCTGCTCCTGGCATATAAATAAGAAGTCGATCCAGATGAGCTAAGAAGTGCGTACACGATGGACAACCGAATGACAGGGAGTCATATAAGCGTCCTAGCCGAGAAAGAAAAGCTAAAGTCGCCCGCATCCTCATGAGAAGAATATCAATCTTTGAAGAAAGTACCCAAATCACACAACTTTAAACCAATGTTAACTGACGATGTCCATGAGTGAAATAATTTATTATTATTATTACAACATTTCCAGAAAAGCGCGATTTCCAGAAAAGAAAAAGAAAAGCCACGATGTTTAATATTTCGACATTTGGTATGTCTTCTTCAGGTTATACATAAAAACAAGAATGCATATAAGTATAAAAGACACAGGTTATTATAAAAACATCACGCGTCTTATAATGATAATAATAATTATTATTATTTCATCATTTTATCAGACAAGATTATAATATCTGGAAATTAATGCACAGATGGCGGGCCACAACCAAGCAGATATCAGATATCATGCAATTTTCCTCTGACTTTACGTGTTCATCACTTTGCGGATTATTCTGACCGTTCTTAAGAGAATTCCTGATTATTATTATTATTATTATTATTATTATTATTATTATTATTATTATTATTATTATTCCCTTTGAGTTCTGATGCATACTCATTTCTTTCCGGGTCCCAATCAGAAACCTAAGATCAGAAATGGCATCATAACATTTTCCACTGAACAGTTTTTGAGAAAAAAAAAGATCACAAATAAAAAACATATTTTGCATAGACAAAGCCCTTCGTAAGGTGTGGTCTGTACCCGTGAGAACTTTTTTTTTTTGTATTTTTTTAAGGCATTGGCTACCAAAAATCCCTTCAATTAGTCTACTGGAATCTTTTCTAATCAATCTGAAGGCTCCAACTACAACAGGGATTGTTGACAATCTCATCTGCCACATTTTTGAGATTTCGATTTCAAGGTCCTTATATTTGGATAGCTTTTTGAAGATCTTCAAAGATACATTGCAGTCTGCAGAGACTGTTATATCAATAAGAAGGCACTTTTTTGTTTGTGGTCTCTAATAAAGATGTCAGGGCGATTAGCTTTATTATTATTATTATTATTATTGCCTTTGAGTTCTGATGCATACTCATTTCTTTCCGGGGCCCAATGAGAAACCTAAGGTCAGAAATGTCATCATGATATTTTCCACTGAACATTTCTTTGAGATAAAATCACACATATTTTAGATAAATAAACCCCTTCGATGTGGCGTGGGCTGTACTTGTGAGTACAATCTTTTGTATTTCTTCAAAGCATGGGCTGCCAGGAAACCCTTCATTGAGTCTATTGGAATCTTTTCCAATCAATCCGAGGGCTCCTACTACAACTGGAGTTGTCCACATGTGCTACATTTTAGAGATTTTGATTTCAAGGTCCTTGTATTTTGATTGTTTTTTGAAGATCTTCAAAGATACTTTACAGTCTGCAGTGACTGCAACCATGTCAATATGGAGGCACATTTTGTCTTTCTGGTATTTAATTACCATCTCTAGGCGATTAACTTTCATTGTTCTGTCTGTGAGAATTGCAAAGTCCCATAAAATTATTACAGGTTCTATCTCCGTAACCGAGTCTGGGTGGGGTTCATATCAATTTCTTGCAGTTTCCTTTTTGTAAAAGTTACATATTTTCCAATGCAGATATTGACCCACTCGTCATGTCAGGTTTTATATTCAGTGGGTGCCAATACCGTGCAATCTGATGCAAGATGGGTAATTGTTTCTGGATATTTATCACAGAATCTACGTTTTGGGTTAACAATTTTTCAGTACGTGTGCTTAGTAATATCTACTTTGAAAGCATTGGTCCTGTGTAACAAGAATAAAACCTTTGTTTCAGCTTTTAACCCTACACTTCGTAGCCACTAATAGGTAAGGGGTTTGTCTACATCAGCTTGATTGGTACGGACTGAATATAAACCATGTCATCGTTTCTGTATCCGGTCGAGTGCATTTGCCTTTGCATTTTTAAAAAAGGTTTTTGAAGGTATATTTGTAGGTTTTACTTGCATTTCTTCATTCATATGAAACCCCATTTTGAATTTGTTGCCTCCTTTTATTATTATTATTATTATTATTATTATTATTTCCTTCGATTTCTGTTGTTTACTCATTTCCTTCCATCTCAATCAGGGACCTAGGATCAGAAATGGCATCGTGACATTTTCCACTGAGCATTTTTGTAAAAATGAAATTTAAATAAGAATAAAATAACCAAGGAATATACACATTTTACACGCATAAAGCCCTTCGTCAGGTGTTTTCTCTACTTCTGAGAACATTTTTTTTAGTTCTTTAAGGCACTGGGCTGCCAGGAGACCCTTCAATGAATCTATCAGAAACTTTTCTATTCAAACCCAGGGTACCAACCATAAATTGAATTATTGATGTCACCGTGTACCACAGTTTTGAGAATTCTATTCTTGTATTTTTATGGCATTTGAGTAACTTGAAATATACATTCCTATATACAGAAGCTGCCATGTTAATAAGAAAGCCAATTTTGTTTTGGTGCTCTTTGATCACTATGTCTTAGCTTTGATTGTTGTGTCTGCGTGTATTGTAAAGTTTCATAAAATCTGTTTTAAGTATACGTATCGTGAAGCCGCCATCTTTTTTGGGGAATATTTTACATGTGAGGCACATCTGAATCCGATTTCGTCCAGAAGGTAAGCAATTTTCTCTAGTGTTACATAAATAAATTGTAAACATTTCAGACTTTCATGTTTTTTGACACAGATCATCATCTAGTATTATTATTATTAATAATATTAATATTATTATTTCAGTATTTGTTGTGGCCTTGTTAAGGACAGAAATAAAGAAAATAAGAGAGGGATTGAGTTAAACAAATATATTAACAGAAACAGTAATAGAGACATATAAAACGAGAGTGTTACAGCAAGAATGCCCGGTCCGACTGTCAGAGCAAACTGCTGAAAACTTCCCTCTCCAAGAGGCAGTACCTGCTCCTGTTTGTAGCTGGGAGAGTCCATGCGTTCATGGGTAAATTACCATGATAGATAGACAGATAGATATCTATAGAAGAAAAAGGAGGAGGAGGGGGAGAAGAAGAAAAGCGGAAGTAAATGATGAGAAAGGAGGAAGAGGAGGAGGAGGAGATAGGGAAGAAGGAAGTGAAGACCAAGAAGATGAAACAGAAGAAGGAGAAGAAAATGGCGGAGGAGAAGGAGGAAGAGAAGTAGAAGAAGGAAAAGAAATGAAAGAAGAAGAAAGATTAGGAGGGGAAGCGGGAGAGAAGTACAAGAACAAGAAGAAGAAGAAGGAAGAGGAGAAGGAGGAGAAGAAGAAGAAAAAGAAGGAGGAGAAGAAGAAGAAAAGCGGAACTAAATGATGAAAAGGAGGAATAGGAAGAGGAGGAGGAGGAGAAAGGGAAGAAGGAAGTGAAGACCAAGAAGATGAAACAGAAGAAGAAGAAAATGGCGGAGGAGAACGAGGAGGAGGAAGAGAAGTAGAAGAAGGAAAAGAAATGAAAGAAGAAGAAAGATTAGGAGGGGAAGCGGGAGAGAAGTACAAGAACAAGGAGAAGAAGAAGAAGAAGAAGAAGAAGAAGGTAAGAATGATAGTGAAACGATTTAATAATTAAATATTCTTTTAGACATTAACAGACAGACCATAAAGCGGACCATGATAACAGTTTCCATACTTTGCAAATCCACCCAAACACCGCACCTCAAAACCGATCCTTGTCGCCACACACATATATTTGTGACTCTTCTGAAAAGAAGATCTATATAGAAAGACAGATAACGTGTGGATGCGCCCAGTTATAAACAGAAATATTTATGGCAAAAGAGTAATAAAAAAAAACCATCTATCGTAATCCAAATTTATGAGCTGACAGCACAAAGTGTCGTGCAGGCACGCATTGCAACGCATGCGCTGTGATCCACCCAAGGCATTAACATTCTCACACACCTTGAGTCTTATAGCCGTAAGTAACAGTACAATTACACTTTATGAAGTCTCAGGGTACTTAACATTTCAGCTAGACCTCAATCTTCTTCTTCTTCTTCTTCTTCTTCTTCTTCTTCTTCTTCTTCTTCTTCTTCTTCTTCTCAGTCTGTGAAGAACCTTTGTTGGACGTAGGCCTTTCCCAGATTCATGAGGAGGAATGGAGCATTACCCTACCGCGCGAGTCAAATCCGCGTTAATAGGGGCGGATGTGACACTCTTGGGCGAACATATCGCTTTCCGCGGAGCAAGAACTACCGCCAATCACGATGAACGGATGTTCCATAAGTGAGGCCCAGTGCCTTGAGTGCCTCTTGTGACTTAAACTCAATTCAGACCTCAAGTGGAACTCGTACATACGATCCATCGCTTAACATCTATATCTCGGTATTTACCAAAACTCCCCACGAAGGCAAGATGCGGCACAACGCCAATTTTTATGTGGAGCAAATCCGAACACCTGGGCTCGGGCAAAAATTCCCCGTAGCCACCGCTTAAAGGGGGTCGGGTTTGTCTATCTCCTTTGGCATAACCTCGTCTGGGTTCCTCTGTCCGAAGACAGAGAGTTCGACAAGATCTAAGCGCTCCCCGAGCGCTTTGCTCTCAGATCTATCTATATCTATGTGCTGAGGTATTATGATTATTTGCGTTATTTGCATTATTCGGACTATTATCCTCATCTTCATTGCCATATTCACAATGTTTCGGCCGTTGTATACTCCGGCCTTCTTCAGGTGATTGGAATTTTGAACCGAACTCTTTATCTCGCTCACCGAGGTAGATTGTTCTAGTTCCACGTGCCATGACTCTTCCGGATGTCTCAGTTATTTCCTTTTAACTCAACACTTCCAAGTTTTTTAGTTCACCATTGCTGTAGTCTGGTATTGAACTCACAACTCTTTGGATCTAGTCACTGGATTTAACCAACGTCTTTATTCACTGATTTGCCCAGTGAAAAGCGGCTGAATACGAGATGCCAGGTCAGGACCAATAACATTGCAGATTCTACTTCGTATTTTATCAATAATCTGCAGATTCATAACAAGTGTAAAAAAAAAAGATTCAATGGTAATATTCAATATTCGGACTAATGGTAGACTTATAATTGTGTAAGATAGATTCTGACAAGAAAGGATTGTCTGGCACAACACAGTGAATCATCTTTCCTAGCAGTTTCTTTCTTTAATGGCCTTAATGACTTAAACTGTCTTTTTGGTGATCTGACTGATCAGGGGCTACGATATTTCATTTTGCGGGTACTGAGTTGGCAGTTTTCTGGTTGTTGCATCCGGACTGTTAGTAAAGAGCCCGAACGCTTTGGTAACACTTAGAGTGGCTAAGTTAGATAGTCAAAAAAGATGATGATGAAAAGAGGCAGCTAAGGAACTTTAACATAGTCTCTTATCAACATAGTCTCTCTCTATCTCAGTCGTGATATTCCATCTATGGCTGAGACAATGTACTTTAGTACTTTAGTACATCATCTCAGTCATAGATGGAATATCACTACTGCATAGAAGGAGACTATGTTGATAGAAGGCGACTATGTTGAAGATTACATTTGAAATCCACTGACTTTTGTGTTCATTTTAGTATACTTTGAGTTCTTCTGTCATTAAATCTGTTGTAATTAAAGACGAACGGACATTACATTATGATCGACCATAGCACTACGAGTGAGATGGTATTACATTTTAACTGACTACCGTATGACGATTAAGAAGGAAGGAGACAATATTATTTATTAGATTTGGAAACCTAAAACGTTTGTATTCTTTTTGGTTTGCTTAATTGCTTCTACTATGAAGTACATTGTATTTAAAGATAAACGATCGGTTAATTTGCAGTATAAGCACCAAAGCCCCCCCTCGGTATTGAGAATGTACCATTCTGGTGTGAAATTGCCTGGTTATTTCGAAAATGACGTTAAAACATTGCGCCTGATTACCGTTTTCGATTTATCGTCAATGTAAGTTCGATCTCTTTCGCGTTGTGAAATTGCCTGGTTAAACATTGCGCTCGATTACCATTTTCAATTTATCGTCAATGTAAGTTCGATCTCTTTCTCGTTGTCCAGTCGCCATTACTAAAATTGTTTGCATGCGTTTTCTTCTAGTAGTAATGCGCGGAAGGTTACTTAGTTAACGGCCTTTGTACAGTTTTTCGTATTGTTGTATAAGGATAAAGTGTCGTTGCTGACACTGGGGTTTGAACACAGATCACCAGTGAGCAAACACAGGTGATTCTAATAAGTAGGCCACGTGATCGTAAAGGAAAGTTATAATATGGGAATTAGCGTGACGTTTAAGTGATCGCTATTCTCTATACTATCCTTTATACTATTTCGTTATACTGATCAATCTAAGAATTACTATTCGGCGATTACTATTTGGACATGTATTACTAGTGCGAGTATTATTTGAAGGAGTTACTACTACCAGTGCCTGCGTTACAAAGTCTCGACTACAACGAGAATTACGAATGTGATAACGAGCATGCGCTGACATCACAAAAGTCACAACGAGCAAGCGTCTGGCATCACAAAACATTTCTTACTGGTTATGATTACTGCGCGATGTTCCCGGATTTTATTTTAAAAAGACCTGTGAGTATCAGATTCACCAGGCCCTCTTTTCTCATTATGTGTCCCAGGAACTTCAGCGGCATCTTCCTGATGTTATAAGACTCCTCCTTGTTTGCATCCTCTCCAAAAGCTCATCGTTGCTCATACGCTCGGTTAATGATATCCTTAGCATCCTTCTGTAGAACCACATCTCCGTCGCCTCGAGTCTCTTCTTCATCTTTGAGGAAATCGTCCAAAATTTGCTGCCGTAAAGAAGGACAGATGTCACGTAACAGCTCAGTATTCTTTTCTTTGTTACCAAATAAATCCTCCAGTCTCGCCATACTCTGCCCAGCATTTGGAATGCGTCCTTGGCCATCCCAATACATTTACGCATCTCAGTGTCGCGCTTACCGTCCTCTGTCAGAACGCTTCCTATATATTTCAACATAACATAAAGGAAAGGTATGTATGGGAATTAGCGTGGCGTCTAAGTGATCGAGATTTTCTATACTGTCCTCTATACTATTTCTCTATACGGATCACTCTACGGATTACTATTCAGCGATTACTATTCAAACAAGTATTACTAGTGCGAGTATTATTTGAAGGAGTTACTACTAGTATCTGCGATTCCAAAATCTCGTCTACAACGAGAATTACGCACGTGATAACGAGCATTCGCTTACATCACAAAAGTGACAACGAGTAAGCGTCTGACATCGCAAAACTTTTCTTATTGGTTTTGATTACTGCGTGATGTTCCCGGATGTTATTTTAAAAAGCGCTTATTTTTTTTAAATGAACTTTTAAATGAATTGTATTCTTTTTCTTTATTTTTCCTTAATAAATCTGCTTATATCTAATGAGACAGAATCTTGCCCTAAAATGTAATTTATGAAGCTTTAAATTAAAGAAACTTTCAGGACACATAAAAAAACAAAACAAAAAAAAACATCGTTGAAAAAAAAAAGAAGAAAAAATCCATTTTTTTAACTTTTAGGCACGTAATTTATATTTTATTTTAATTGTCGGATTTTACGTTTTATCACGCATTATTTTGCGTATTCATTTCAAACTTCGCGCATTGCACAGTAATCAAGACAAGTGAACCTTCAACATCGCATGACTCCTCGAGGCAAACGTATGTAAACAAAGCCAGTAATGGCGGACGTTCTGTGTACGCGACGAGAAAGAAGTCGAACTTATATTGTCCATAACTTCTAAACGGTAATTAAGCGCAATGTTTTCATCCCATTTTCGAAATAACCATGCAATTTCACACCAGAATGGTACATTCTCAATACCGGGGTCTTTTGGTGCTTATATTGCAAATTAACTGAACAGTCATCACATTTTGAACGATAATTGTTCATTCATTTACACGGAATTAGATAACCTGATTCGAAATCCTAGGACTTTTGTCTTCATTTAACTATATTTTATTTCCTTTATTGTTAAATCCACTGTATTTAATAAAAAAGAACACTCATTGCAATTCGAATGACCGTTGTTCAACCATCGAGAATAATAAGGAGATAATATTGAGGGTGAGGTTTTGAAAATCAACTTTTAATCCTGAATGGATTTATTTCAACACTGTTTAAATCAGTTAAAATAGAAACCCTGGACATCTATGCAATTATGCCATCGAGTTACAAGTTTATTTATGCCTTTACGATAAAACTCTAAAGGTTTGGAAGTTAAGAAATCTTTGAATGCAGTTTCCGCATCTTCTTTGCAATGTCTTTTGGTTTAAAAAAAATTGTCAAGATGCGTGAAAAAGCATGTAGTTAGTAGGCTAGAGATCAGGGGAATATAGTGGGTGTGGCAAAGTCTCGTATCGCAAGTCAGTGAGCTGAGATGAGGAATGTTTTAAGTTAAATTCTGAAAGAGATTGTTATATAAAAGGACATTTTATTACTTTGGAATTGGTAATATATTTTCTGTGCAACTATTATAATAATATATTAGAACTCAATTAAATGGTTTATTTTGAAATCAGACATTATTTCCCGAAAAACCTAATATTATTTTCCAGTGCATATACAGGTTGCGTCACGTATTTAAGAACAACATTCTGAAAGAGAGAAATACAAAAAGTTACCAAAGAGGACGCCATTAATCATTAGGAATGAGTAATATCTTTTCATTTAATTGAAAATCTCATTTAACATCTGGTCTGGTGCTTCTGCTATATGTTTAGAGATTCTCATCTATCTATCTATCTGATAATATATATATATATATATATATATATATATAGTGTATCGCGCGAAATTCGGTGTCGGAAGTTACTCATTTTCTGTCACTATATGATATCTATCTATCTATCTATCTATCTATCTATCTTATTTTATTCATATCTATCTATCTTATTTTATTCATATCTATCTACCTCAGTCTGTTCATTATCTATTTATATACATATGCGAACACACGCATATATATATATATATATATATATGTGTGTGTGTGTGTGCGTGTGTGTGTGATTATATATATGTATATATATACATATATATATATGTATATATGTATGCATATATATGCATATATATACATATACACACACACACACACCCATATATATGTATATGTTTGTGTGTGTGTGTGTATGTGTGTGTTCACTAGATCAACATATCTATGTTCATCTCACTGTCGTATATTGTATTCTTCTTTCGGATTATATTTTGGCTTTCGTTTCTTTCCTCTGATGACATTTAGGCTTGGCCTTCCGCCGGGTGTTCTGATTGTGCACTGACCGGAACATCGTCGTATGAAAGCAACGAAAAACAGGTTAGATAATGCAGAAAAAAAAAGCGATGCAGTAAATCGAACTCTTTATCCAAATCATTCAGAGATGAAGATATATCAATTACTTTTGAGATGACTCACGCAAACTATATTTCGCCCGAATGATCTTAGTCTTGTTGTCACTTTTGTTGTTGCCCTAAAGTTTAAGCCAATCTATTCTTCAGGTGCATTTTTTTGTTGTTGATCTATTCTCTGGCCGATTTCACGTATACAAACATGGAGATTTCTTTTTTTCGTTTTCATTGTGATATCTTCTCATGGCAGAAAACCGAAAAATAGTGTCAAGCAGAACAAAATGCATCTCATCGTCTGTCACGCGATGTTTTGTTTCTCTCACTTAAATCCCAACTCTTTCCTGCCATTATCAACACTGGAAAGAGCGATAACAGCTACTGGACTTGAGAAACCTATTTTCCTGAAAAGGTTAGGAATGTAGCCTTCATCTATACTGGAAAGAGCGATAAAAGCCACTGGACTTGAGAAACCTATTTTCCTGAAAAGGTTAGGAATGTAGCCTCCATCTATACTGGAAAGAGTGATAACAGCTACTGGACTTGAGAAACCTATTTTCCTGAAAAGGTTAGGAAGGTAGCCTCCATCTATACTGGAAAGAGCGATAACAGCTACTGGACTTAAGAAACCTATTTTCCTGAAAAGGTTAGGAAGGTAGCCTCCATCTATACTGGAAAGAGTGATAACAGCTACTGGACTTGAGAAACCTATTTTCCTGAAAAGTTTGGGAAGGTAGCCTCCATCTATACTGGAAAGAGCGATAACAGCTACTGGACTTGAGAAACCTATTTTCCTGAAAAGGTTAGGAATGTAGCCTTCATCTATACTGGAAAGAGTGATAACAGCTACTGGACTTGAGAAACCTGTTTTCCTGAAAAGTTTGGGAAGGTAGCCTCCATCTATACTGGAAAGAGCGATAACAGCTACTGGATTTGAGAAACCTATTTTCCTGAAAAGGTTAGGAAGGTAGCCCCCATCTATACTGGAAAGAGCGATAACAGCTACTGGATTTGAAAAACATATTTTCCTGAAAAGGTTAAGAACGTAGCCTTCATCTATACTGGAAAGAGCGATAACAGCTACTGGACTTAAGAAACCTATTTTCCTGAAAAGTTTGGGAAGGTAGCCTCCATCTATACTGGAAAGAGCGATAACAGCTACTGGACTTGAGAAACCTATTTTCCTGAAAAGGTTAGGAATGTAGCCTTCATCTATACTGGAAAGAGCGATAACAGCCACTGGACTTGAGAAACCTATTTTCCTGAAAAGGTTAGGAATGTAGCCTCCATCTATACTGGAAAGAGTGATAACAGCTACTGGACTTGAGAAACCTATTTTCCTGAAAAGGTTAGGAAGGTAGCCTCCATGTATACTGGAAAGAGCGATAACAGCTACTGGACTTAAGAAACCTATTTTCCTGAAAAGGTTAGGAAGGTAGCCTCCATCTATACTGGAAAGAGTGATAACAGCTACTGGACTTGAGAAACCTATTTTCCTGAAAAGTTTGGGAAGGTAGCCTCCATCTATACTGGAAAGAGCGATAACAGCTACTGGACTTGAGAAACCTATTTTCCTGAAAAGGTTAGGAATGTAGCCTTCATCTATACTGGAAAGAGTGATAACAGCTACTGGACTTGAGAAACCTATTTTTCTGAAAAGTTTAGAAAGGTAGCCTCCATCTATACTGGAAAGAGCGATAACAGCTACTGGACTTGAGAAACCTATTTTCCTGAAAAGGTTAGGAATGTAGCCTTCATCTATACTGGAAAGAGCGATAACAGCTACTGGACTTGAGAAACCTATTTTCCTGAAAAGGTTAGGAAGTTAGCCTTCATCTATACTGGAAAGAGCGATAACAGCTACTGGATTTGAGAAACCTAGTTTCCTGAAAAGTTTGGGAAGCGATAACAGCCACTGGACTTGATAAACCTATTTTCCTGAAAAGTTTGGGAAGGTAGCCTCCATCTATACTGGAAAGAGCGATAACAGCCACTGGACTTGAGAAACCTATTTTCCTGAAAAGGTTAGGAAGGTAGCCTTCATCTATACTGGAAAAAGCGATAACAGCTACTGGACTTGAGAAACCTATTTTCCTGAAAAGTTTGGGAAGGTAGCCTCCATCTATACTGGAAAGAGCGATAACAGCTACTGGACTTGAGAAACCTGTTTCCCTAAAACATGTTTAAAGAAAGATTTTATAAATTTTAACCGAAATCAGTACTATCTATCTATCTATCTATCTATCTATCTACCATTAACAATACTGGAAAGAGCGATAACAGCTACTGTTTTTGAAAAACCAGTTTTCCCCAAAGAAATTTCAACCGAAAGCAGTACTGATTTCTCGGTCAATAAATCCGAAATGTTTACTTATAGGGAAACGGCTAATATTACTATTTGACACGAGAAAATATCATATATTGTTAAAACGGCAAAAAAAAATAATCCAACAACGGAATTAACGTTCCATTTTTTAAAATTTATTTTGCAACCAAAAAACACGTCGTAATCAGAAAAAAGTAGATTTGATCTTTTAATTATTGAAATAGATATGAATACACACATACACACACCCACACCCACACCCACACCATAGTCGCCTTTGATGTTGAACCGTAGGCGTTTCACATAATGGCGAAATGTCCCTCATAAGAAACTTAAGGCTTTTATTCGTATTCACGAATCCATTACCGACGTCAGAACGCCCCACATGGTTTGAATTCAAAGGTTTCTTTTAGACTGGCTTCTATAATCCTTTCAGGTTGAGTCCTATGTACCTCTCATAATGCTCACATATCAATCATGCAAAGTCCATTTTCCTACGCTTGTTATAATGTGATGCAAAAAAAAATGAAACGTTGATATTCCTGGTTAAAAGGGTGGCATTCCTGGTTAAAAGGGTGGCATTCCTGGTTAAAAGTCTGCTGAATATTCTGGAACGTTGTATTTAGTTCCAAAGCGAAAGAGCATGAAGATGTCTCTTTGGAATACTTGGAACATATCAGATGCGAATGGTTTGCTTTGCTTTGTTTTGTTTTAAATGGGTTATTTAATGTTGACAAGATTTTTATTGCTGGAAATATTTTTTCTTCAAAAAATATATTGCTGGTAATAATTTTTTCCTTCAAAAATTCATTGCTGGTAATAATTTTTTACAAAAATGTATTGCTGGTATTAAAACCTATTTTTACACTTTCATAGTGTTTTGACTCCATTTTGGGGTTAACTATTTGTCCGTAGATAGGAACGTAACAGGTGCTACCACCCCGAATCAGGGTGGATCTGGGAACACCTGCAATTAAGAGGTGGTTTCACGTTCCTCAAAACCTCCTGATCAGAATCCTTGCTGTCGGATGTAGTTTATCGTTTACCCTGAACGCGGATGTAGTCTATCGTCTTACCCAGGACGGGATTAATTATAGACAAGTATAACCTGACCAACCTTTACCTACAAACTCAAGCATAAACAATGCCAATGTTTATCTATTGACTCAAGTATAAACAGATCAATATTTGCCTATAGACACAAGTATAAACTCGATCAACGTTTATCTATAGACATAAGTATAAACCCTACCAAAATTTACCTATTGATTCAAGTATAAATAGATTAATGTTTACCTATAGACACAAGTATAAACTCGACCAATGTTTACCTATAGACATAAGTATAAACTCGAGCAATATTCAACTATAACCAATATAAACCCGATCAACATTTACATATTGACTCAAGTATAAACACTACCAATTTTAATCTATAGACTCAAGTATAAACTCGACCAACATTTACCTATTGATTCAAGTATAAACACAACAAATTTTTATCTATAGGCTCAAGTATAAACTCGACCAATGTTTGCCAATAGACACAAATATAAACTCGACCAATGTTTACCTATAGATATAAGTAAAAACTCGATCAATATTTAGCATTTCTGATAAGAGGCCTTTCTGTTGGATGTAGTTTATCGTCTTACCCAGGACAAGAACGACGCGAATGGGATATATATATTAGGGTTATGACATTTTTGAACCATATTTTCTTGTCTCATAAATCGATGAACTTTTGTTAAAAAATAATGAAAAAGGCATTAATTTGTTTTAGTTCTGATAAAATCCCCCCAATCCTGAACATTCGATTTACCATTTAAGCAATGAGGGTAAAAATCAAAATATTTCTGAAACCTTATTTTTCAATTTGCTAATGATGTAAATATTTATTATTGTAAAATACAATAATTGCGGCACATGGCCCAAAAAGTGGCGAGAGGGATGAGGCTGCTCATCATTAACTATCCTCTGTCAAAACTCGGCATAGGAAAGCCAACTCCGAGGTGTGTCGATGACTCAACAAGTGTAGCATTCCCAGCCTTTCATGATACAGATGTTGGAGAAAAGCTTTTTTACATATATTCTGCATGCGACCATCTCACAAGAAGGTGGACAACAAGCGTGCGATCGTCTTCCTATTGTTCTTGCAAAGAGGAAGTACAGCCAACTTGTGAAGGATGATTGGAAAGTCGTAAGTGGCACACGCCTCTGATCTACCCTTCAAGAACAACCTCCTTCGTAGCTAAGACTGGACTGACGCTTCGACGTTTGCCTGTACTTCTGACCAATTTTTTTTTTCCAGCTGGAGGTCGGATCCAAACCAAACTACAAGAATGTGGACAGGGCCGCCCGTCCAAACAAATGACCTCGGAAGGGATACCCCCTTCCATGCACCTAATTGCAAGCTGGAAGACTTGTTACGGTTAATATTAACCCCGGTTACCTTTTCGTACCGTTCAAGCACTTCCTGTACCACCTCAATGTCGCTGTGGCACGACACGAAAATGGCTACATCATCGACGTACGCGGAAACCCTAAATTTGACAATGATGTAATGGGATAGTAGTTATGAATTTTAATGCATTTAATAGTTTATAGCTATATCATAACCTACAACCTTGCAAATAAAGAAACAAACAAAAAAAAAAAAAAACAAAAAAACTGCAAAATTCCAGAACCTTTATTTTTCAATTTGCTGAGGATGTAGATATTTATTATTGTAAAATACAATAATTGGGAGTGGGTTGATTCTGGTCATCATTAACTATCCTATACCTAGCTAATCCGAGTCACGACCCATTCATTCATTACAAGTAACATATATACCAAAAGAAGACATCCTTCACCTTTTACTCCTACATATACCACAATACCCCATACAGAAAGGGAACCTACAAAAACACCTCGTGATTTTAAAATTTCTGATGTTCAAATTTCCTATGTACAAATGTTTGTAAAATATGTATATATAAAAATCTGTAGATGAAATGAAATGAGGGGGTGGGTCTAAATCTCATTTCCAAACAAAGTAGGACAAATGTACAACGGAAAATAATAGATGTTAGTAGGACCCGTCCACCCCACAAAAATAAGAGTTGCCGTTGTATTCTGTCATCAGGCTGAATCAAGAAGCTAAATCTCTAACGGAATGGTAAGGATAAAATAAATGTGGGCCTAGGGAAATCAAAGACTGAACCAGTCGAGATGAAAACAGGTCCAAAAACAAACTGGGCAGGTTGGGAATCTCAACTTGGCTCATAACAGAAGTAAAGAGCCGAAAATAGGCCAGGAACGACACTCACTCACATTAACTAGGTACAAAAAAGTGAGTAACTTAATCAGTGGAGGGTTCATAGAAAAAGCGCCTCGTTTTGACGAAGAGGAATTAAAAAAGGAACTCAAGGATAGCCCCTTTCACACGAACCATGCTCGCTACTTTCACCCACCTTTCATTGAAACCTATCGACACCAAACGCTTTCTATCAGTTCTGATCTTCACTTTCAGCTGACGCTGAAAGAATTTCACCAGATCCTGATGAGAATAGCGTTCATGTCGCAAGATTCCCTCCTTTCGCGTCATCCAGATCACCATTCTTGCCACAGCTAGCAATGTTAGGAACACCATTCGTTTCACCCCAGAATACGGAGGCGACACATTGTCGCACGCGTATGCGATATCGATGAGTATATGTTGATCGGGAACAATACGAGCCATCAACTCGCCGACATAGTCCCAGAAAGGGCATACCTGAGGACAATGGTAGAAGGCGTGCAAAACCCTTTCTTCTAAACCAAGGTCCACCCAGCCCCATCTGAAGCCCATGTCACTGAGAGATAGCAAGTTTCAAATCAATTGCCACGTAAGCGAGAACTCAGGTTTACTGGGGTAATTCCCCGCTGGCGCCCAAGACCAGTAAAGAGCGCAACTTGGTCAGCGACAAGCCGATCTGCTCACAGAGACCCTCCTTCGCTACCCTCTCCACTAATTCATGATACAAGAAATTTCGAGGCCAATAGAGATCACTGGACCAAGGAAAAGCCCCAAGGCCGCTTGTTGAGGAAAGTCGACAATTTCCCGGACCTACGACGGCGCTTAGCCCAGGAAAGGGGAGGAGTGATAGTAAGGCTAGGGAAGGCGTCTCTAACATTCCCCACCAAAATTGAATCCTCTGTCAAAACGCGGCGTAGGAAAGCCGACCACGAGGTATGTCGATAACTCACCAAGTGTGGCAATCCCAGCCACTGCATGACACAGACGTTGGACAAAAGCTTCTTGACGGAACTTCTGCTTGCGCCCACCCAAAAAGAGGGTGGACAACAAGCGTGCGATCGCCTTCCTATGGTCATTGCAAAGAGGAAGTACAGCCAGCCGGTAAAGGATGAGAGGAAAGACTAAGTGGCACACGGCTTAGCTTTACCCTTCAAGGACAACCTCCTTCGGAGCCAAGTCCGGACCAACGCTCCGACCTTTGCCTGTACTTCTGACCAATTTTTCTCCAGCTGGAGGTCGGGTCCAAACCACACAACAAGAATGCGGTTAAGACCGTCCGTCCAACCAAAAGGCCACGGATGAGAGACTCCTTTCCAGGCACCTAACCGCAAGCCGGAAGACTTGTTACGGTTAGTCTTGGCCCCTGTGAACTATTCGTACCGTTCAAGCGCCTTCCGCACCACTTCAATGTTGCTGCGACACGAAAATGGATACCTCACCGGCGTACGCAGAAATGCTGGCTCTAACCCCACCAGGGACAGCGATTCCACGTAGGGTCGACTCCACGCCGCATCTCTCAGCCGACGAAGGAGAAGCTCAAACGCCAAAACTTAAAGTAGGGGCGACTGTAGGCAACCCTGACGAAATGAGTTTTGCCAAGGATGTAATTGCATATTACTTATGTATTTTTAACCCATTTAACAGTTTATACAT